ATGACGCCTCTACCTTTAGTTTTCCTTGTTGTAGGTCTATCTGCTCTAAGTAATTGGAAGCCTTCAAATTTTTCAAAGTCAAATTTTTATTGTGGGGAAAAACTTACAAAGACTTCGCTTATCAAATCCCATAGGGTGTTTACACTTTGGTTCGGAACACGATTCACAAGATCACAGTTAGTCCATGAAAGTAAAATAGTAATGTGAAACATCCTTTTCCCTTTATCAATTTCATCAACAACAGAAGACATATTTGGGCAGAATTGATATTGGCCATCAATTTCGCGTGCTCTCACTCAGCTGTAAACGCACATTTAAATGATCAGGTGAAAACGAAGAAGCATAAGAGTTGAAATGAGTCATTTGAACAAAGTGTTGGACAAGTGAGTCAAGTGATTTGTGTTTGGTTAGGGGTTGAGATCAAATAAGATGAGAAAATTTGATATGGGGTGAACTGGACCAAACGATGTGGTGAATGTGGTGAACTAGGGAGGGGGAGGGAAGGTCATCTCACGTCATACTATGGTTGGTGGTATCAAGTGTGATATCATCACTACCATGGCACAAACAGTTGCGTCACAAATGTTTTTTGAACACATAATTGCGGTTCCAAGCGATGAATAATTATCGCTTCTAAGAATCGCAAAGTCCGTGAACTTCGAGGCCTCACAATGACCCGAAACGCTTTGAGTGCGTCTACGGGGTGACCGGAGTCTAACAAATGACGGGCAATCGCACTAGATGGTAATTTCCCTCCGCGAAGACCAAGCTGGTAGACGCACCCAAAGCGTTTCGAGTCATTGCGAGGCCTCGAAGTTCACGTGGGCCTAGTACAGATCCCTATGGAACCCCACGGTTGACATCTATTAGATCAGAAAGTGAATCGGACACACGAACTGACATGGTACGTAGGCGAAGAAACTCCTCGATCCAGCCAAGTACGAGTCCACGGATTCCATAATTGTACAGTTTCCGTATCAGTATTTGATGATTTACCCTATCAAATGCTTTAGATAAGTCCAGGTAGATAACAACTACCCCTTTGCCTTGGTCTACAGCATGAGTCCAATCGTCCCGAGCCAAAATCAAGTTAGTTGCACATGAACGATGATTTCGAAACTAGTGCTGGGCTAGTAAGTCATTTTTCTCCAGATGATCCATTGTCGAATCTGCAACAATAGATTCCATGACTTTGGACAACACTGGAAGGAGTGACGGGTCGGTAGTTGGCTGGGTCACTACGGCATCCATCTTTGTAAATTTCGATGTAAACCAATTCTTCTTCGATGGATTCTTGTAACTATTTTTCTGGAAAATGAGCACACAACTTTTGGAGTACTCACCGTAGCTTAGAAAGAATTGAGCGGACATTCGACGACAAAATGATCGGAAAATCAATGCTCTTCAGGTTTCGGTGCTCAAGTGCAACTTTCCAGCCCTCGCGATGTTTTTTCCGTTTTCCATGTGAATTTTTGGTGATCCTTTTGACCTTATTTCTCACAAAACCAGAAAAAGTACGTAGGGAAGGTTCGTTGATATATCCCACGGATACTCGTACGGAAATTAAACTGAACGCGTTGTAGGTTATCATTGAGGACACCGTAATTGATACAGAAGTATATCCAGAGGTTGTGTGTGATGAAAAAATCAAAGCTTCAGCGATAACAAAAGATGACACGACCAATTTCCAAGGTCCCGCCTTAGTATGTAGATAAGTAGTATATATAGTTTACTACATAGTATATAGTACAGTATAGTATAGTATATATAGTATATATAAGTAGTATGTGAATGACTGGACAAATCTCCCTGGAAGCACACGACCGGTTTCGCGGTTCTTGCCGCTCGTCAGGCATGCGTATCCGGTAATCTTTTGTCAGTTCATTCATATACTTGTACCCAAGAAGTGTATTTTCGTCACAATAACCTTGCGTGCAACACCGGGTAACCCTTGAATAGACAGCTATTTCAGAGCCAGTCCAATGAAGAATCAATGCTGTAATTCGACGTTTTTGTAAGTGGGTTATATGCTACTAACCGCAACAAACGTGACCTGATGGTCTTGGTAGAATATTTCATAAT